CCCCAAAACCCCAAAACCCCAAAACCCCAAAACCCCTTCTTTAGAAAGTACAGTTGAATTTTCTAATTTATAGATTTACTACAGGCAGAATTACCTTAGTTAGAAACAATATCTGTATTGTAAAGCTTGGAATCTCCTTCCATGTCAGAATCAGTAAGCTCGATTTCCTCTTTGCGATACATATCTGTCATCTCTGTAGAGTCATAGTAGACTTTCTTACTGGCTGGTATTTTTCTACCAATTTTAAATAATTTATAAATGCTATAATCATCTTTGTCTTCTAAAGATTTGCTGTATTCCAGAAATTTAGCAACATTCCTTGGCTCCAGACCTGCTTTCTTAGGGTTATCGATCTTCTTCCATTCCATCTGAGTGTTGAATATCTTATTTCGTAGCTTGATGAGGTCATGTGCTAACTCTTGGAACTTATGTTTGTATTCATATCACCGTATTTCGAGTTCTTCATCTCATTTTCAAAGTCATTTATATTCATCACGAACAGACGTTTATAATCATCCATTGATGCATTGGTACCTTTGTCAATCATTCGGAGCAAGACCCTGGTACGGGAGGACACCATGTTATTAATGATATCCCTGATGGCAGAGTTGATGATGTTCTTACGTGGGTCACTCCCTGTTCCTCATGACTTATTAATCTTGTTGAGTGAAGACTGTATTTTCTCACTTTCGTCTACCTCTTTTAGGTCGTCGATCACCTTTAAAGACTTATCATTCTCCATCAATTTGAACTCCTTCGTCTTCACAGTACGAGAAGTGACCATACTAGGGTTCGAGAATAGAGGTATCTTGGTACGGATTATATCCTGAAGTTTAGCGACTTCAGCTTCTAGGTCACCAATCCTGTTCTCAAGCCCTAAGATATAATCCTTCTGGTTCCGCCTCCGATTCCTACAATAAATTTTGTTCAGCTCCTTCCTCCTGGTCTTGGGGCTCAAATGCTTAATTTGTTGCTTAAGCAGATCATCCTGGTCCTTGAGCTAGAGGATGGTTGGTTAGAGTAAGTCTAAAGGGGCCAAAGGGTATTCAGCAACACACGTACTTCATTCGCAGCTCTTTTCCTCTCCTGTACGACATCTGTAAATGCAGACTTGTTCATATTTATTGATTATACAAAACTCGTTTTATTTCTATTAGATTGAGATTCAGGGGTTTTGGGGTTTTGGGGTTTTGGGGTTTTGGGG